TTAGTTTTTATTCTAAATCAAAATTAACAGTCAATTTTAACCTCATTTTTCATGGGATGTCACAATTTTTTAACCACACATTTCATCAACTTTGATCAAAATCTATTAAAAATCTGATTGTAATCCCTACCAAAAAAAGGGTCAGCCGACCTTACAAAATTCTTATTTTTTGTATTTTTTTACACATTTTCCCATTTGGACGAATTTTTTTTCTCTACTTTCTGCATCCCAATTTCTCTCAAGCTCCAAATTCACTTTTCTTCGAATACTCACGTTTGTCATTTTCAGCATATAATTCTCATTTTTCATCGTCTAGAGTAACGAAATATCAAAATATTGTCATACCATGATTTAGTGATACGATATAAAAAATAATTTCAAAAAACGAGAGAGAATGGATAGAATTCTTTTTTGAAAATATATCATCTTTCTTGTAAAAAGTATTTTTAGCAATGAAGATTATTAAGAATCAACTAGATGATTGAATTGGAGATTGATTATCCAATGATAGACCAATCATGTATATTAGGAACGATATATTTTATAATATTGATAACGATATAAACATAAGATATTTTCAAAGTATGAAAACAAATAGGTAATGTTTGTACTAATGTATTCAAATGTTTTAATTAATGTTATGTGTTCGAAAAAAAAAAAACTTAACTTTATTTTTTATCATTTAATGAAGAATGGCTAAATTCGCCACTAGCCACCACTAGCTACTGTTGATTTTGAAGATAATTTATTTATCTTTATTTGTTTGTTTCTAATTTTGAAAGGTTCTTGTCAGGAGAAATTGAGTTTATGGAGAAAAATGGTTACCAGAGATGGAGGTAATGAGGAAGCAAAGGTGGATGACTTTGTTGTGAGGTTGAGGTTGACCAAAAATATTCATCTCTCTTGTCCACCCAACCTCAAATCCCAACCCTAATCCACCAATGGAAGAAACCTCATTTGCCTTGATCGATAAGCCTCAAATATACACCATCGCTTGAGCTGCAGTTACATAAGCATTTGTTACAGCCACTCAGGGGCTGACACAAACCTTAAAAATTAGGGGGCACAATCGAACTTGAAAAGAAATTGGGAGAAATTTTACAATCGAAATTTAACATCCAAAAAAAATCATACCCTATATAATTTTACATCCGAAAATTTATATGGAATATGATTTTTTCGGATGTAAAATTTCGAAATTTTTTGATATCATATTTCATATAAATTTTTTTAATAAAATTATGAAAATTATATTGAGAAATTTGTATCACAAAAATAATAAATGTTAATGAAATAATTGAATTTTTTAAAAAATGAGAGTTAGACGTCTTTTTTTAAGACTCAAGTTTAACATATTTTTAGCTATTTTAGATATATGTTTGGACTATTCGATATGTCCATAATGTAATTCTCGAAATAGATTTTGAGATGAATAAACAATTTGTAGATTTGATTAGCGTACAATTGTCGGATAATTTTTAAAATTAGCATGTCATCGAAATTCAAATTTATTATGATTTTGCCTCTATTTAGTGGAAATTAAAATCAAATTTTTAGTAAATTTTAATAAAAGTTAAACAATTATGGATTGTATTAAATATGTTATTAAAATTAATTGTTAACTTTGATTTAAATTAAAATTTAGATTTCAATTGATACCAAACATGATTATATATATAAAAAAGAAAATCTCAAAAGTTGAGAGTGCCCCTAGGACCCCCTAGGTCTGCCCATGCAGCCACTTCATCATCTCCTCCACCCCTGTCGATCCCAAATTTTCATTTCCATTAACTTCATTTCCTTCTAACAAAGAATCTTTAAAGTAATAGAAAATAAATAAAAGATTAAAAAATTATCTTCAAAATCAACGGGTTCGGTAGATGGGTGAATCAGAGAATATGAATATTTTTATCAACAGAAAAGATTTTGGGTGAAAATAGTTAGAGGTCATTCGAACGCACATTTATTAAAATTTGGGACACACGCTCTTCAAGGGTTTGGAATTTTAGATGCAGTTTCTCCTTTTCAATTAGTAAAAGATGAAAATATCATTTTACCCTTTTCAAGAATTTGTTAATTTATGGTCAAATGCTGACTTGATGAACTAACAAATTTTTGGACGAAAATCATCTATAGGTCCTTTTGCCGTGTAAGTTTGAAAGATTTGGGACCACTACAAATCAAAAAATGGGATAAAGCTTGAAAAACTTAAAAATTTTGGATGATGACTGCAATTATTCCTTAAATTAAACTTCAACAAGGAAAAAGATCGGTGTGAACCGACTTGACAATGTAGAACTATGATTCGAACAACTTAAAATTGTCGACCAGATTAACTTGTATCCAGCCTATATTTTTATTTAATTTTTTCTTGAGAAAGCCTAACATCCTTCATTATAATACATGTGAAATCAATTACAATCAAATCCCAACACTATCTACCCATAAATCATATCAATTTCACATCTTATAAAGAAGAAGGTTGATGATTCAAACAACTTCTTGCACCAACTATAACCCCTATTCGAGCAGGATAAAGCTACTTGTACATAATTTCTTGTACACAAGGGTGTCCATCCTCTTACATGTGGTGGACCCCACATAAATAAAATTCTTTTTTAAATCATGCGGGATCCATCTCATGTGAGAGGGTGGACACTCTTATGTACAAGTAGTATAATCCATTCGAGCCCTATTTTTTAGAATATAAAAGTAAAAATTAAGGAGAGCTTGAATGCAAAATTAAACGATAAAATATATATATTAAAATGAACAAAATTAATTAATATAATGTGAAAGGTCATTCTATGGAATTTCGTGCTGCACGACATTTGTTCAACTCAGTCAAGCTCAAAATTGCTTTACTTATGTGATCTTTGTATTGGTAAAGACTCGCTCGCTACCCTTTCAGCTTTGTGATCATTGCACAATTCCTACTACTTCTCATGAATCCAATCCAACCAACGGATTTCAGCCGAAACTATCCAACGGCTCATGTTACTCAGTTATGGCGGGAAACATTTTCATTATTTTATTATTAAAATTAGAGAATTATTATGGAGATAGATAGTTAGATACAGATACATACATATATATATAAATATAAAATAGATACAGCAAATTGTATGATAAATAATGGGAGACAGACAAGTGGGCCCATATTGGATAAGACAACACCGACGGTGGGTCCACTCCATTAATTTCTGGCTTCCGTTACGGTTCTACTTTGTAACCTCCCCTGGCGCGCCCTCTGTTTTCATAATTTTACTAAAACACCCTTCTTATTTTATATCTCTTTTTAACTTTTGTATTTTTTTAATTTAATAACATAAGGATAAAAAAGAAAATCATGTAAAATCTGAGATAGTAAAGGAAGGAAGCTTCTAGAGAAGACAAGCTATGGGAAATACCTAAATCTTTGATTAGAAAAATCATATCTATACGCTCTTACTAGCTTACAAAATTTGAATCTTTTAAATTTAACGAGCTGGAAGTTAAAGAAAAGGAAATTCACAAGGATTAAAAAAGAGAAACACGTAAAATTTTAGTTAGTAAAGGAAGGAAGTTTCTAGAGAAGACAAGCTATGGAAAATACTTAGATCTTCGATTAGAAAAATCATATCGACTAGGCTGTTATAGCCTACAAAATTTGAATTTTTAAAATTTAGCGAGTTGAAGTTAAAGAAAAGAAAACTAATTGAGACGAGTCAGCAGTGATGGACAAGGCATTATGATAGATATGTCTTTCATTTGAACGACTATGAGTGTCAACTTATTTTTTGATATTTTCACTTTTAAGGATATGCATACTTAAAAAATCAACCAAGTTTAAAAGATGAAATTGATATAAAAAAAATTAATTTTATTAAGTTTAATTGAAATTATTACCCGCCGAATAGTTGATTACAACCAATCCAAGTTTATATATGAAGGGAAGATTGAACGTTAATCTCTAATACATGTATGCGAAAAATTATACAATAACTTTGACGGAACCTCATTTCAAATTCACAAAACGAAACTAGAACTTCATGGCTAAAGCTATAATGTGAAATTGTTTTCCATAATCAACATTTTCACTCGTTAAGAATTTAGATAAAGAAAGACAACAACAACAATTTTTTATAGAGACATGTTTGTGTCCAAATGAAGAAAATACCTATTCATCTTGACAACGGATAACATTACTCTCATACTTAATTATTGTAGTTCTAGATGTGTGGATCATGTTATGATTATAGTAATTATTAACATTTTTGGATACGAAGCCAAAACTAAACCCTTGTTTGAGAGCGATTCTTACAAGATTTTAAGCAAAATTTTAACCATTGAAAATATAGGTGGGTCCCTATGCTGCCGTAATATTGACTCAACATGAATCAAATTATCATAAATGCCCTTCTCTCAATTAGAATGAATTAATGTCAAAAGGGTACATGTATAATTTTGCTATAATTTGGTCAATAAGTACGACTTTTAACATTGTATGACGGTACAAAGTTTGTTAAAAATCTTCCCAATCAGGGGCTAATTTATGTGGGGGAAATAAATTTCATAAAAAGAGTAAGAACAAGAAAACAAAGGGGAATTTAGTCATTTCACAAGGGTCAAACAGTCAACACTATGTAACTCACCGTGTAGTGGTATTGCATCATGCCGCAACGCAAGCCTCTATTGCATGATTAACGAGCCATGTCCCATACGTGGCAGCTTCTCATTGGTCCATTTCAGGTCTTCGGGATTCATAGCCTTCTCACATCAAACAATAATAAAGTTTCTTTAGTAAAAACACACACTGGTCACTCTCACTCTCATCCTCTTCCTATCTGTGTTTTCTCTCTCCAAAAAATCCCAAATTTCACCCCCAATTTCCAACACCCTTTAACCTGAAGACTTCATTTTTGGACTCATCAATGCAGGATCTTCCGATCAGGCCTAAATTCAAAGCCTGAGGTTGCAAAATTTTGTTGTCTTTTGTGGGTTTTTGAAAAAAATTGGAAATGCTGGAAGCTGCAGTAGAGAGTAATATACACAATGGAGGATTTTCTTCACACTCTTCACAGTTTCAGAGCTGTGGTGAGAGCAGTGAGGAGGAGCTCTCTGTGCTGCCACGTCATACTAAGGTGGTGGTGACTGGAAATAACCGCACCAAGTCTGTACTGGTGGGGCTTCAAGGTGTGGTAAAGAAAGCTGTTGGGCTTGGTGGATGGCATTGGCTGGTAAATTCTTGCAAAAGTTTGAGTCTTTTGGGATAATGAATTTGAAGTTGTATTAATAATGTAGGTTTGTTCATTTGAAGAAAATGTGAGATAATTTTGTAAATTCTTGTTTTATTTTATTTTTTGAAAATTTGAATGGAACTATATGTAATTTGAGTATTTCTTGAATTTTAATGGTAATAAGTTCCATTTTGCGTGTGAATTTGAGATGGGATTTTGTCAAATTTTTTCTACTTTTGATATATTGGATTACAATTTTATTCAAAATTATGAAGCTAGATACTTTTTTAGAGTGAATTTTGTTCGAAATTTTCTCTTTTGATTTCTCTGCGCGTGCGCTAAATTTGGGTATTTCATAATGGAGTTTGTTGCATGTGGGTTTTTGTGAGTGGATCTGCTGTTATCATATATACTTTTGAATCTCAGATAGTATAAATAATTTGTGACTTTTTAATTAATTGGATATTAGGATTTCTTTCATTGCTGCTTCAAAGTGAGATTGATTTCTTCCATTCATAATGTAAGATTTATTTCAACAAGATAATGGGTTTTCCTTTGTTTGTTTGGTTGAATTTTAAATTATTTTAGGGATTGGTGGTGGAGTAATTGATTTTTATTTCACCATTTATAACTGGGAGTTGGAAATAACGATGGTGTTCATTTATTTGCAATTCCTTCTGGTATAACATAGACTTAATCTGGGACTGCAAATATCAAATTCTTTCGACTCAACTGGTTAATATTCCTTGACTGTCTATCTGAATTTGATTTTAACATAAAATGTTGCTTATTATTGCCTTTATTTATTTTTTATTTTTGTTTCTTACTTTTCCCATTGGCAGAAAATTAGTCTTTTTTGTAATGCTTATTTGTAATTTCATAACTAGCTTGAAAATTCTTGGTTCCGAGAAGTGGGCTTCAATTTTATCACGAGTATACTCATTTGTAGGTTCCTACTTTATTCTGCCATTTGATTGTTAAATATGGTTTCTCTAAAATGCAGGTTCTTACCAATGGCATTGAGGTAAAACTTCAAAGGAATGCTTTAAGTGTACTTGAAGCTCCTACTGGAAACGAGGATGATGATGACATTGAATTTGAAAATGTGCAGTGGAATGGATCCGATATGGGTGAGTTCGATTTTAAAAATATAGTTGTAGTTTTGCTTCTTGCTTGATAAGTAAAAATAATAATTTATATTTTAAAAAATAAGCACATGTACACTTGTTTGAAACCTAATAACCATTTTTGGACATGTAATTTTCTCTGTTCCCTGAATCTATGTATATATTCAGACCCCTCCCTTACTTGAATTTTGTTGCAAAGCAACAGACACAAGTTTAAAAGTGTCCTTGACATGTGGTCATGGCCCAGAAATTGTTAGGATTAAGCTCTAGTCCCAATCTTGAGAGCAATAATAAACAAAATGAGATACAGAAAAGCACAGGCGAAAACACAATGATTTATAGTTGTTCATCCTCAATGTGAATCTATGTCTACTTATTGCCTCTGATTTTTACTGTAATGAAGAAGGGGACATACATGTTTTTTCTTTTAAAACTTCTCTTTTCTCGTACTGAAAAGATGATCCCTCGTATTCCTATTTATAAAGTAGGAAATTAATGAAACTTCAACATAAATGCTGTCCTGTGCCTTGTACTTCAGTGGCTTTAGTGAAAGATAAAATAGATTTTTCTTACTTTTTTTTTTGTATTTAGTTATTTCAATTTAATTTATAGTGGAAAGGTTTTTGAGGTTGTTTCTTAGGATGCTATGTTATTGTACACCTTTTATTCCAGCAAGCTCTGCTTGTTGCTTTACTTTATTCTTGTTCTTTAGGCCCACCAGAAAATGTAATTATGCTGTGCATTCTTTTTTTCTAGCATCCGATGAAACTCAAAAGTCTCATAGGTCAAGGCATCGAATGCACAGGCCGACTGGGTCATCTCACAGGACTCTTAGCCAGTCTCTCTCATGTGACTCACACTCTAAAGGATCTATTTCTACTCCAAGGGGGTCCATGGTGAGAAAAGCTTTACACTTTTAGAGTTTATCTGTTATCATTTTTGCCTTTTTTTCTTTAATGAAGGTTATGACAATGTGTACAAATTTTACTTTAAAACACCTATGTACAGAAAATTGACCTTAGCAAACTTGAGATGGCTGCATTATGGAGATATTTGCGGCACTTTAACCTTGTAAGTGGGTTTTTATGCTGAGGAGACTTATTTATATTTTTAGGTTGGGTTAAATACACAGATTGCCCCTAAACTTTTAGCAAAATTTCATGTTGGTTGCCATTTTGTTCTAATTTGACTTCAAAACTTAAACTTGTTACAATTTGGACACTCCGTCCATTTTTGTCAGTGTCGCTTATGATCAAATTGTAACAATGTTTAAGTTCAATGACCAACTTGGTACAGATTAAATCTATTGACGAACCTAAAATTTCATCAAAAGTTCAATGCCCACTGGTGGTTTTAACCCTTTTAGGTTTGATAAAAGCAACTTTAGTTCTAGCACTTAATGCTCTGAAATTTTTCGTCAGGTGGATGCCATTCCTAACCCGTCCAAGGAGCAACTCATAGATGTTGTTCAGAGGCATTTCCTATCTCAGGTATTTGCCGATGTCTCTTTTTTTTTTTTTCCCCAACTGATGATCTTGTTGCTGATCAAGAACCAGATTATTCTCAAGATATACCATTATACGATGTATATTTGCAGTTGGATTATTGATTGGGTGTATTGTCTTCTGTTTATGTAGCAATTGGACGAGTTGCAAGTCATTTCCGGGTTCGTGCAGTCTGCGAAGAGACTGAAAACTGTTTGCAAATGACATTTGGAAGATCATGAAAAGTCATCTGCTGACTCTAACAAACTATGATTTCCGGTCGACCCTTTCTGCTCTGGTCGAGTTTGTAATATAAAAACTCCGGTGTTTATCCCTTTAGTTCTATAGGCCATTGTCCAAGTCTATAGAGGTTATCGCTTCTTGTTAGCTGTATAGTTATATGCGAACCAGTTGACTAACTCTAAGAAGCTTCTTGGCCAAAGCTTTGGTTGAACGTATGCTAAATGTATAGTCGTATGCCTAAATGATCATTCGATCATCAGAAGCTTTACATGCTTATTTAAATTAGAGATTGGGAAGCTGACCAAATTAATACTTGTTAACTGTACTGTACAGTTATTATTTTTTGTTCGAAGTATATATGCATCTTCCAACCTGTAAGGTGATGATCAAGTTGTTTCAAGAATGCGATTGTGTTGCAAAACTTGGTAATTTTTATCTATAACATCGATATTTGGTTGAAAAGTTCTCGAGTAAAAGCTTATGACATGTTTAGTATGTTAAAATGGACGGAGTTGAACAATACAAGTAGCAAAATTTTGAAATTCAGTCTGGTCCAGTGTCTCAATTTGTTTAATCTTTAATTGTCATTGTCGTTTTTAGCAAATCCCAACTTTCAAGGCGTAATTAGCTGAAATATATGTTGAAAACTTTTACTCAATGACCAACTAAAGTCGAACAAAAAGAGAGCACGCAGGAAAAGCTTGGTTGGTGGTGGATTTTCTTGCATAATTTATCCGATTTTCTACTGATTTATTGGGTTTGGTACAATCCATATATTCTCACTCCACTTATAAATTTGTCTCCTTGAACACGTATTCACAACACTAATGTTTCGCTAAGACAAGTTCCAACACATGACAATGATTTGGTCCATCCCAAAAACAAGGATTGGACTAATCCTTGTTTTCGTAACATTTACTACCCTAATTTCAGCTCAATCGCACTGTTATATTTCATCTTACGATCACAATCGTCGATCTCCGCAGTGTGTGCATAAGCCAAGCTCATCACCACCACCTCAACGAAGAAGGTTGCACAGACCACCACCTCCGCCTCCTGCGTGGTTCTACTATTACTCTCCTCCACCTCCTAGTCCATACTTGCCTAACCATCCACCACACGTAGCCTTGTCACCACCACCTCCACCTCCTGCATGGTTCTACTTTTACTCTCCTCCACCTCCCAGTCCGCCAAACTTCCCTAACCATCCACCAAATGCACCCTCGTCGCAACCTCCAAAACGTCATCTCCGGCGAGCATGAAAGAGTTGATCATTTGGCAGCATTACTTCCCATCAGCAAAAGCAACTAAGGGAGCCACTTTGATTGCATTATCGGTTTATGGTTTAAATTTTGTTTCTTCTTTCTTTTGGAAATAGCTATGGCATTTCGGCTAGTTACAGGATAATTCTATGGGCCGAAAAAAAAGAGTAGGAAATGTGGTTTTGGTGAAGCAGTTTTAGTCAATTTTCATTGATTTATCCTACTTGTACAAAAATAATTTGACAAAAATGTTGACAAACTCTCACATCATGCTGGCCCCACATGAATAAAAAATTCAAAAAAAAAAAAAATGTGGGCCCCCTGTGTTGTGAGAGGCCGGTAAAGGTGTTTGTCACCCACTCCGGTACACCTAGCCTACCTCATTTTCATTTACAAGAGCGACAAGATACTAATAGAACATTTGAACAACTCCCACTGAAAAGCATATTTTGACCAATTCAAGACCCTCAACAAATATTTATAAGCATGACGTAGGGTTGACAATGAGCCGAACGGTCAACAAGGGAGTTGAGCAAGAGCTAGCTCGCCTGCCAATTTCCGAACTCAGTTTGCCCCATTGGCTCGCCTATTAGTGGGATGAACCGAGCCAATTCAGGAGCCCCTTCATTTATTTTATTTTTTCCAAAAGCTCAATTTATTTTTTATTTTGTTGCAGTTAGAAAAATTTAGGAAAACAATACTAATAAAATCATCCAACGGAGTATTTGTTGGTAGTATATATAAGTGGATAAATACCTTATTAGCAACTTATGAAAAGAACAGAACAAATAATTTTATTTACTGCAATAAAATAATAGAACATATAATTTAAATTTCCGTAAAAGAAATTCCAAACCGAGCCTTGTGTGAACACAATTTCCTTAAAACAGATTTGCACTCTCACCGTACGTGCTTGAAGTTTAATTTGAGCGTCTGCTTCCTAAATACAATGGTAAAACAGTAGAGTCTCAGCACTACATATTTTACTCCGGCGAACTGATTTTGTACCCGAACAATATCACCACCAAGAAAATCGAAACCAAAAAATTTGGCAGAGACACAGTACTGTAAACAATACAGATGCATGATGTAAAACAGTGATTTTTTCTCCTTCCTTTTCGTGTATCTGAATTGTGGAAAAACGGTTTTCATATATAGACTTTTGACTCCTAGAAATCTATCCATTAACTCATTGGTAATAACCACGGGAGTTTGAAACGTTTATGGAGCTTTGGAAAAAAATTCCAAAACGTAGGCCCTCATAAGGGGCCAATTTTTTGTCAATCAGGTCCAACATTCATGTGGGCAAGTCGCGCTCGCATACGAGTTCAAGGTCCGAAACATATTTCGATCCGTGATTTGCACCCCCTGCGCTTGCACGTGGAGCGAGTCTATATGATCACACCATTACAAAGTGTAATCCTATATAAAGTGATTTTTGCTTTCCTCATTTTCCTACGTGGGACAACCATTAATTGGTTTCCTTCTAACACAGATTTCTTTCAATTGGTGCACTTTGAGCTCCAATTTCTCATTCACCCGAACATCATTTTTGACAAGTAAATATATGATTTCGATATTCTCACGGAGGAGAATACAAATCAACTTTCGTACTCCAAAATGAACAATCGGGTCCCATTCAAATTTAGCTCCAAAATCAGTCATAAACCCATTTTCCAACAGTATTTGAACTACTGAAGAATTGGTGAAGATGCTCCTCATTTGTCATAAATTTATGGTAATCTATTCGAAATAAATAGTATAACGTAGCAAATTGAAACTCACCGCAAAGTCTTAATAAGTGTCTTTAATTGAAATGACACGTTTAATGTAGAAATATGGAACCCATTTTAAATGTCCTCTCACTTTACAATCATATGCTTGGTTTGCACCAAAGTTTGAGTTTGCGACAATTTCTACAATTAAAAAAAAAAAAAAACAGAGTTTTCCCTCCAACAATTTTTTTTTTAATAAAACAAAGACAATATCAAAGACGATGTACACTTTGAAATGTACAAAAGACATTTTCCATCATTTTATGGCAAAAGGTGACAATGGGGAGGTGATTAGGATTAATAAAAAACCCATTTACCTCTGTTTACTTGTTTATTTAAATTTTAAAAATATTTTTATTTTTAAAATTCAATTTAGAATTATAAAACTTAAAATCAAATACAATAAAATGAAAAAAAAAAAAAAAATACAAAAGTTGGGAAACCATGTTCCCCGTTCCCACCCTGGTTATTAAATTGGGCAGAGATCCCCACCTTTTTCAATGTGGAATCAGATTATTTTTCCATCCCTATTTATGGCACAAAATTGTCACCTACACATTGTTTAATACAAATTGTGCTCATAGCATTTCTTTGAAATAGATTAAGTGAATTCTGAACCATAGATTAATTGGATTTAACCTCGTGGTCAATTTCACTCTACTAGTCCTGTCTCTTTCACTCTCTATCATAGTATAATATTTGAATTATGAATTCAAATGTCTTGGTCCTTTTAGTTGGATGTATATTCACTTGGAGCTAGCAAACATGAGAGAAAAGAGAGAATAACTACGTGGTGAGACTCGTCCTAGAGCAAAAATTCTTAGCTACCTCCGGTGGTTTTTCTAGATTATCAATTGCTATTCCCCTTGGATGACGGTGCTTTGATTCGGTGTATCAAAAATCTGAGCTCAATATCATATGACACATCGGTGGTGAAGTTGAAGAAGATTTGAGTCAATTGATTTGGATTTTATACACTTTGAGAGTTTATTTTTCACATTGTAATTATAATAATCATTATTACTCTACAAATGGTACCACAGCTTAGGCTAGTGATGGAAAATGTTAAACAACCTAAAAAACGGATTGGAAGTCGAAGGGGGTTAAGGTTTGGTCGAAAACAAGTTTGCTCAAAACTTTAAACCTATATTCCGCAGGATCTACGTACCTAGTTGACAAACGACGAGCACCACCAGACAACTAGCAAAACCCGATGGTACTGTACATCAGGGACACGAGCTAACGAAGTGGAGGCTCACGAATCAGATGTGGAGCAGATGAATAGAGCGCGTGGGAGCGTGTCGTAAGAAATCCAATGATGGTGAAAAAAGACAGCTTGTTCCTCGTGGAATTTTTGACAACCTGGTGATGTTGGTTTATTGTGTGGTGCAACGTGGAAGCAAATATTGACTCAAGGAACAGAGTAAAGACGACATAGCTTTTTTGTTGGTAGTCCGATAGTGTTTCATGTGGCTGTTGCAGCTGTTGGAAGATTTAGGACGAGTAGCGGTGGCCCTAAATCTATAAAAAAACTCACATCCCTCCTTAAAATTTGAACCGACAAATTGGCTCACTTGATTTGCTATTCTAACACACTCTCTTAAATTCACAATTTGTGAGTGATTATTTGCTACCATATAATTTTGTGATATTTAATTTGACTATTGAGATATTGTCTGTGTTACTTCTTGTGATACCATCAAGTCATCTTGAAAAATAATTTTACATAAAATGGTTTGAGTTTGCATTTGTGTGTGGGTAAATACTTTGATTAGAATCTCTTCTATTTTTTTTTTTGTTGCTATTATGGTATCTCGAGTTGAATTGTTATAATTCAATGGTAAGGGAGATTTGGAAGTAAAAAATGAAAGCTATTTTAATTCAACAAAGAGTTTTTAAATTTTTTGACAACCTAGAAAAATATCTTGATGCAGTAAAGGTTAAA